AAAAACATCGCATATTGACTCAAAATAAACCCCAAAAACCCCTCCCCACTGCTGCGATCTGCACAAAACGGCACCCAATCAGTTATGCTCCTCCCAAGACCGCCGCACCTCCACCAAACCCAGATCTGTCGCACCTCCACCAAACCCAGATCTGCCGCACCCACACACCAAACACATCTCTCTCGCACCCAGGCACAAACATTCGACCATCGTAACCGGCGCAAGTACACACACCCCCAGCCACCGCTCATCCCAACACCGAAACCACAATGACACAAAAAAAAAAAAGAATGGAAGAAGGCGAGACAGAGTGAAACGAGAGAGGGATATGAGTGGAAGGAGAGTCCACTTCGGCGGCGGCGGTGGTGGCGGCGGCGAGAGACGGAGTAGAGAAGGGAGGCTGACGGGGAGGAGAGAAATGGGAGGGAGGAGAGAGAATGGGATCTTACATGCAATGAAATTTAGGGTTTGATTTGGGTGATTTTAATTGGATCGAAAATTATATAATTAATATTAATTAAATATAAAAACCTGATAATTGAAAGTTTAAACTTGTGATAGGATTTGTGAAAATGGAAATCTAAAAGCAGGTGTAGATGTAATTTCCTCGTAAAAATATTCAAGACGGTTTCAAGGAATATAGCATTGGGCTTCAGTGGGCTCAAGGACACCCAGCCCAAAAGTGATGGTTCTAATAAGGCCCAAATATTTAAAGATTTAACAAAGTCAGCCCAGCCTACTAACAAAATTTGGTTCTGAATCAAACGATTGAAACCCCAGCACTCTCAGCTGTCTGTTCGACTATTCTCTGATCTCTTTGGCTGAAACATTCGGTAATTGGCTGGCGACATTAGGGGAAGAGGAGAACTGGACAATTCTGAATTTTTTTAAATCATTGACTCTAAGGTAGTTCCAAGTTTGCAGTTTCGAGTTTGTGGGCTTTTGATATTGTTTTTAATCATACTTTTATTTTCTGGCTTGTAACAGTACGAATGGAATCGTACTCGTTATCCTTGATGATCTATGTATTGATTGACTTTTAATAAGTATAAGAAATTAGGAATAGGTTGGATGTATGATTGAACATGATTTTTAGCTGCGTTTATTTGATTTTTTATAATAAATTCTATTTGGTAATTGAAAAAACGAATTTTGGGATTTCCTTGATTCTTTCTTGGCGGGGGTTTAAATAAATTCTTATATTCCCAAAATTCTTGGTCTTTTGGCTTACAAGTTTGAAGAAATTTGGGTGGATATGATAGTATGATCATTTTTGTTTTCACTGATTTCAGTGGTTTGTCGGCTATATTCAATTTCAGAAAGGGTTCAATTTTATACCATTTGAAGTGAATTTTCATGGTTAATCTATTTATTATATGGATTTACTTAATGTAATCGGATTTGGGTTGAAGGTATGGCATCTAGTTTTGATGCTATGTTGCTGTTTACCAAAACCAGAGAATGAGGGTTTTTGGGAAAATGAATTTGTACTTGAGTTGTCCACACGAGTTATGCCCATTTATACGAAGATCTGTTACCATCACGGTGCTGAAATCACCTCAAGCAGTAACTAGCAAGCACCAGATTATGCATTTATGATTAATGTTGGGTGATGGATACTCCGGAAAGTGACTTCTTCTTAAAGTATTTCACAGGTTTCTTGACCCAAAAACCCAAAGGAAAAAACCCTAGAGCAAAAATCAAGAACAGGAGGAGGTGAAAATGGATATGGAAACCCTGGAGATGAGACCCGGAATTATCATTGTCGGATCCCAGAGCGTTGGTAAACGGACCCTCCTTTCCCGTAAGTTTCTTACTCTGGATTGGTTTACTTTCAATTTATTTGATGATTACGGAAACCAATTTATTTACATGATTATTTCAAGTAAGGAACACAGCTCATTCTAAGAATAGGATACCAATTTGGTAATCTGGTTTCTAATTTAATGAATAATTACTAGCTGTTAAGTCAATGAAGATCATTAAAAGGGAGTTTGGATCATGTGAATGAACAGATAAGTAGAGGGCCTAGAGGCAGCTGCGGGGAAAAAATATGATGATTCGACAGTGCATTGAAGCTGGAGAATCTGTGAAGAAATGTGGTGATCTTAGGCCCAGAGCTGTAGACAAATTCTTACGGAAATTGTTTAGGAAAACAGATAAATGTTTAAAGAATTTGTGCTTTTTTCTAAAAAACGTAAAACGTGGAGGCCAAGCTTCGGCTTAGGCGTAAAAAAGCATAAAAAACTGTTTTCTTATTTTAATATTATTTTAAATTTTGAAATCAATTTAAAAATTATGTAATAATTAAAGGAAAAAAGGGTTGAAATGCGTAAAAAAAAGCGCGTGCGCTCCTCGGTGCGAAAAAAATAAAAAATAAAAATGGAAAAGCGCAAAAAGCCAGAAGGCGTTTTACTCCCGCTTTGCCTAGGTACCACTTTTTAGAACACTGGAATTTAGAAAGCTCGGTTCAATTTTCAACAAGAGGAAAATTCAAAATGCTTAGTTGGTAATAGGCATTTTAATTAATAAAAACTGTTCATATAATCTAGACATTGGAAGTGTCAAAGATTTCTCTACTTCTCCTCAACATCCAATTATGTACGTTGTTCAGAATCTTGAATCTGGAAACTCTTTAACACTCGTCAAAAGATGTGCCGGAGGGTGCTCGTGAGCATTGTTTAAGTAAGGTGTGGATATGGAGTTTTCGTAATCATAATAACATTGGCCACGCTGCTTGATGAGCAGGCTGGTGATTCAGTATGTTGGTTGGTTGTGAGACATCTGGATGACTTCTGTTCAGGTGTTAATTGTTTGTAGGGTCATGCCCAACAACATGCCTGATGGGTGGATCATTTATGGATAGTTAGAGTAAAGTTATATTTGTTTATTAAGGAAAAACAATAAGGAACTGAAGCTGATATTTTTTAAAAATTTATATCATGAATCCTTTATGGCGGTTTTCATTTAGTGATAGTGTTGATTGAATTATTTTTCACATTCTGACCCAATAGGGGGAAAAAAAGAATCTAGGGTAATGTTTGAATTCATAGAAAAGTGCCATTTTTTAAAGTTCATTTTCTTCTTGTTTCCTGGGTTCTTTGGGTATGATTGTTCTCTATCGAAAGAGCAAAATGCAAAATGGGGAGAGAGCAATATCAGATAGATCTTTTATGCGGTTTTGTCTCTCAGCAATTGGGACCTTGTTTAACAAAAAAAAAATGTTGATGTTCCTCTTTTGTCATCGGTCCTTTTTCTGGCTGCGTCTATCCTTGTCTATCCTTGTTTGTGACGAACTCTTCATTATATTTTAATATATGTTGAACCCTGCTAGCTTGCACAGTGATGAGTTACTGAAACGTATGAACAATGAAAATTGAAATGTTTGAACTTTGAAGTAATGTCAATTGTCATGGTGATATTTTGAAATGTCATAACCTAATTTGGTACAGAAGTATACAACACGCATTTGGTTACATTGCTTTAACAGTGATGAATTTGTAGCTCTGCTTCTGTAGAATTGTAGGTTACTTTCTTGACACACAGACCACTCATTTCAAAGATTTTAAATACAGGACTGTTTCCTGTGGATTTTGAAGATGCCCCCAATCCATCATCCAAGTTACTTGCTTATGGGTAAGTTCCAAGCAGCAAAGTACACACAAGTATCCAATGAATGATAATTAGCTCCTCTCTTTAAGAAAATTATCACAATTTAATTGGTCCTGGTTTCTTACAGGTGGACAATCAACACAAAGTACTATACAGCTGATGTTTCAGTTTGGATGGCTCATCTTCATGACGACTTCTCTATCGCAAGCCTGCCTATGATTGATAAGTTATCTGCCTTGGTGATGGTGTTCGATGTTAATGATGTAAGCCTTGTCCTTTAGGCTTTAGCTTCCTCTTTTGTGCAGATTAATGGTGAAACTTCTATCTCATTTCTGCAACTGTTTTTAACATTCAGTGCAGTGACAAATCTTCTTTCATGCCATTGTCCACAGCTCTCTTCTTTTGCTGCTCTTAAAGATTGGGTGAAGCAAACTGATATTCAGAAATTCGATATACTGCTATGTATTGGTAACAAAGTGGATCTTCTTCCTCATCATCCAGCTCATGCTGAATACAGGAGATGTCTGCTGAAGCGCGAAGAATCCTCTGGCAGTTCTCTTCTAGACTTGGCAGACTATGGGATTTCTGAAACCGAAGGAAGTAGTTTATTGGGAGATGAAGAACCATCATCAGAGATCACGAAGTCTTGCTTGGAATGGTGCATTGAACATAACATTGAATACATTGAATCGTGTGCATCTAATGCTGATTTTGACAAGTGTAAGACCTTAATTATCATAATGGTATTCTCACTCTGCAATCTGGCTCTGTGTCACAACTGATCTTGTCCTCTAAATCCATTACCTTAATCTGCAACATGAGTAATTTGGTGCATCTCTCTCCCTATTTCAAATTCCTCCAGTTTTATATTTTTAATGTTTAGATAGTGTCATATCATGATATACTGGACTGTTACTTATGCTTGCAATGAGAGCATCTCTGTTATTATTCTATTCTCAGTTTTTCAGTTTTAAACTTCTATATTGGCATTTCTGTATACACACATTTCCATTAATTTTTTCCAAAGTGCATGTTACTGTTAGCTGAAATGGAAATCTTTCTATCTATCTTATGCACTTCTGTTAGAAACGGTTAAGGTTTGTCAAGAACTTTTCATTGCAGGTCTGTCCGTAGATGGAGATTCACAAGGTGTCGAACGACTCTTTGGAGCTCTCTCTGCTCACATGTGGCCTGGAATGTCCTTGAAGTCTGGTGATAAGATAAATGAACCTACATTACCTGAACAAGAAGGTTTTATAATCTTCTGTTGTCATGGTCATGTATTAAATTGTTATTTATGTCAATGATTTAAGGTACTCCAACTGAACATTTAGATAATTTTTTTTGTCAGATTTATCAGAAGAAGAGTCTGAGTATGAACTTGAATACGAAGTCTTATCTGCTGGTTCTGCAGAACCATGGGACGACACAGATGTATGGATGTCTGCAGATGGTCCTGTTTCAACCTCAGGGACTGGGGATCCATCTGCTAGCAATCCTGTCCCTAAGAACTTTGATCGCAAGATTGATGTTGGATCTGTTGGAGAAGAGCACAAGCCGTCAACATCAGCATCTCAGCTGCAGGAAGAGCTTGACATGGACAAAACACCCGATACACATGAAGCTGACAGAACTTCGGAACCTGATGAGGGTGAGACCTACGATTTTGAGGATCTGGAAATGTTGATGTCCGAAATTGGGAATATGCGCAGCAGTTTGAGGTTAATGCCGGATTTCCAGAGACGGGAAACGGCAGCAAAACTGGCCATGAAAATGGCTGCAATGTTTGGAGATAGCAGTGGAGGTGAAGAGGGATTTGATTGATAAGACGAAAAATTGTAGCGCGCACTAAGATGAACTTTGCTATCAACCTCAAGGAGTTACAATGTGCTCGGATATGTAATCAAGGTGAACTGGACAACCTCAGTTTTCGGATCCATGAAAAAAAATATTCTGTTGACAAAATTCAAAATAATTACATGTAATGTACTTATTTGAGGTAGGAATTGGTAGACTTCCTTGGGAGAGTATTAAATTGTCGTGAATTTGTATTTTCTTATGATCCAGCTAATTAACTACAAAAGGGTTTTGAGATTTTAATGTAAAGATCTGTCACATCTTCCCAGGTTTTATGATGGCTTCATATGTAACCTAGTTTGATGAAGGAAGTTGCCATAAAAATGTTAAACTCGCTGCTTGATTCCGTGACTGTAAACCAAGTTCGAGGTCACTTTTATTGGGATGTACGAGGTTTAAGTAAGAAGGACGTGCAAATTTATAGGCAAATGTAGTGCTTCCTCAATGAAAGAATACTTTTAGGACACTAAACATAGGCTGGAGACGTAGTTGATGTATACAAGCAAGAAATTGGAGGTGGGGACTCTAATTCCGTTAAATAGTGATGGAAGTTTAGATAATGATAATGAAAAGACCTTTGTAAAGAACTAAAAACCACATACCTTCAAAGTCACACTTCTATAACAACTCATGATGTTTGGATATTTTTAATGAAAAAGACAATCTACTCATCTCTCGAGGGTGTAATCGAACAAAACTTTTTCTTTTCTTTTTTAGGGATCAAAGGATTTCACCCATTCTTCCCAAAGAAAGCTCGAACTAGTCCATCGGCCTTTGACAATTTAACCTTAGCCACTTGAGTTAGGGTTTGATTTTTTTTTTCTAGAACTTTTTTCAGTATTCACGACGAGTAATTATTCATTCTATGAATCACTCATTAATTATAATCTTTGTCCAAAGGATTACGTTGAACTAGTTGAATTAGACATGTTATTATGATATTATCCCGGTCGTTAAATAAAAACAACTGTGTGAAGTTGAATGTGAGAGTTTCGAAGATTTTAAATCAAAATTATCGTAGCTAATGAATATTGGACTCATTTATATAATCTTCATAAATGAGTAGCAATCGAGATTTGAACTCATGAGTTCTATGTCCGTTCTCTAATATTATAATAATGATCTCACCAAAAAGTTTAACATGTTGAGAAAAGGACACGTGTATATATCTAAGTTAACAATGACTCTTAACTCATTTATGAGTACATAGTGTAACAATTTGAAAAAAAACAAATAAATAAGATTGATTTGACAGATTAAATGTATATCAAAACACTTTAATTTTGTCGAAGTCAAGACAGTTATTTCCAAACAAACTTGGAAAAAATTTCCAATCAAAGAATAATGTCCAACTGCATGTCTCAAGTATCAACCCATCTCTAGATCAGCTTTATAAACCATGTCATGAGGAGAAAAATAAAGCAAGAACAAGTAACATACCTCAATAACCAAGCAAAAATGAGGCCATTCTTCTTCTTCTTGATTTTTCCCATGCTCTTCCTTTCCTTCTCAATTATGTCCTATAGCGCGATGGCCCAGAATTTTATCTATCAAACTTGCAAAATTTTCGCACAAAATGATCCAAACATCAACTGCAATTTCTGCACAACTTCCCTCCAGGCAGATCCAGCTAGCCAAAATGCCACTATACAAGAACTTGGGACGATTTCAATCAGATTAATACACAGCAACGTGATGGATACACTGATTTATGTCAATAATTTGATTGAGAACAAGAAATGGGATTCATATACTAAGGAATGTTTGACTGATTGCTTTGAACTTTTCTCAGATGCAATCCCTTCTGCTAAACAGGCCATGAACTATTACTACGAAAAGCTCTACAGTGATGCTAATGTACAATTAAGCGCGGTACTGTCTGATTCTATGACGTGTGAGGATGGATTTAAGGAGAAAAATGGAGTGGTTTCTCCGTTGACGAAGAGAAATTGTGATACTTTTCAGCTCTCTGCAATAGCACTCTCTGCTGTGAATATGCTTCAGACATGATCAAACAGAAACAGGAACTAGTCCTATTTTATTTTTAGGGTACAATTATTCGGCACGTGAATATTTATAATCTAGTATCTGGTGCTAAAGTTATAATTTTTTTATTTTTTTTTTTGCTGAATTAGAGACATTCTAAAGCTGAAAAATGTGAATATGTAATCCATGCAAGTGTTTGCAATAGTTAGGAACAATCCGAACGCAAAAAGTCAACTTTATTACTTGAACACGACATGTGCACTTGTGATTCTTAGCGAACATTCGGCGAACTTGCACAGCAAATTCTGAAGTCTTCTTACCATCTACAGTGAGTTCTGATCGGCCATATTCCATTAAAGTATTTCAAAGCAAAAATCGGGTTCTTCAACCATAATTAAAGAGAACACACTTGTGCATAAAATGACATAATCATACTCGACGATCGGGCAATTTGATATGAGTTAAGGTTGGTGAATCTTAATCCAAATGGTAGTTTCGACTGAATAAAATAGGGAAGTGACCATAAAGTCAAGATCGGAAAATTTAATTCCACTTCTCCAAATTCAATTCCAAATTCTAATAAAAAATTCAATTCTATTTTTTATTTCTTTTCCATAAGAATGAAAATTGAACATAGATATTTTATATTATATATTTTATATATTATTTTAAATTCTATTAATTTATTTTATTTTTATTGACTTTATTTATAAATAATTTTATATTTATATTTATGAACATGCTAAAAATTCTAAAGAGTTCATTATGTATAATTTTAGAATTAAAGTTCAATAAAATCTATTCAAATTCTTTGAGTTAATGGCTCACTTGAGTAATGTTTGTTTGGCATGAATTTTGAAAAATTAAAAGGAGTTTTTTAGACTCGAAAATTATTTTTTGACTCAATTGGCTATTTTTATGAAAATATTTATTCTAATTAGAAAAGTTTTTAGAAGAAGCTAGCTTATTATAACTTCTTCTAAAATTATTTTCTAAATAGGATTTAAAAAAAAAAGGTACCTTAGAGGATATCAAAGATGCTCTTTAAATATAAGATGTTTTATATTTTAAAAAGTCAGCCCTTAAAATTATGTTCAAATAGATTCTTCAAATTAACATTTAAAATAGAGGGTGAATTTGATTATCTGAAATATTTCAAATTTCAATTGAAAAAAATAATATAATAATTTGAAAGGAAATTTGTGAAAATAAAATATAAGAAGAAATATAAATATTTGTTGAGAGTCATAAAATTAGGTGTTAAAACATAAAGAGTTTATTGGAGTATTGAAATTTATAGATGCTCTTTAAATTAAAAAATAAGTTATGCTGCAAAGTTCAAAGTGGATCTAGAACAACTGGAGTGGAGTGGCCATTTTCACTCAAAAGTCTTTTCCTGGCAGTAAATTCTAAACTCTCATACAAAAATAAAAATAGAAGTAAAAGTTGAATCACTTTCGACTTTGCATTTTAAAACAAACATATTCTATAATTTAGAAGCATTTATAAAATTAGAGAGTAAAAATTTTTAAATACTTCGATTTTTTATATTTAATACTTAATTTTACTATTGATGCTATCAAAACTCGTACTTGCTGATTTTCAAGTTTGACGACTGAGAATGAACACGAACAAAATCTTTCGGTACTTGAAATAAAAGCGTCGATGTATGTCCTCATCACCCCTATGATGCTTAAGTCAGAAATAGAATTTGCTGAGAAATATGTACTGAAAATTATGTAAGAACATATGTATTTATAAAGGTATGTAGTGCATTCTTAGCAGGATCGCAATATTGAAATTCCTAGTAGTTCTAACGTGGTTGGAAGTTGCAAATTAATTGGTTTTGTATTACCCGTGTGTTTGGATAGAGATATGACTCTGATGGTAAAATGCTTTCAGGATGATATAACATATTAACAGCAGGACTCCGTCTCTCTTAGGTTTGGATAAGTCTTGGCAAGAGGGAGATGGCTGCCTGGTACGAGGTTTAGCCGTGATCTCGAGGAAGACGTATATGGTCGAGAACAGACCGTCCCGATGAATATGACTGATGAGGTCATGAGGCTTTTGAGCCAAAATGGAAAGCTACTCCTCAGGTACAATGCTCGAGCTCCACTAACTTTGGTATCATCAACTAATATAAAAAAAAATATTTATTTTTTCATATATTTTATCTTTACTAGTTTCCCTTCACATTATGATATTATTATTTTATTGAGAATTGAAATACTTTCAATTAATTTAATTATAAAGATTGGATTAAGCCAAACTCACCCTCTAAGAGATGTCGGCCAATAGAATGGGCAGCGAAATCCATTCACCCAAAAAGTCAAAAACAAATAATCAACAATTGACCAATTGTTCGTGTCAATGTATGATGAGAAGCATCACGCGCGGTCCGCACCATTCACCAATCAGGCGGCAGTGTGAGCTACCGCCGTTAGAAATTTCACACACAAATCTCAGGAATCTATGCACTCCTCGATTCTCCACTATATTCCGTATTATGAGGAAATCAAATATCATACGAACAAATTGCTGTTATTTTCTAATCAACAAAAAAATTCCTATTCGATTTTGCCCTCTATAGAATCCTTCTGCCAATTTTCCAATCTCAACATGCCAGGTATTTTACTCTCTATAATTCTCTACGTTTATGGCTATATATGTATCTCTATCTGTTTGTACGCATTTCGTTTGTCAAAGAGATTGCGAGTTTTGTTTTCTTTTATCGTTTTTACAGACAGTGCCTTAATGGGCTGTCCGTTGGATAGCATGTTTAATGGGTGAAAAATAATTGCTGGGAAGTAACTGTAATAAGGAAAACTAATTAATCCCTTTTTAGAGTAATATACCTTCATGAGCCTCATAAGCTCTTGTTACAAGCTGTGAAAGCTGAATGGTACAGTGTGCAAATGATGACTTTGTTCAGATTGTCCATTTGCTAATCTTCTCCAATTTGCGAAATGGATCTTGAGATACTTAAAAAGAATTATGTAAATATGAATATGTTATTAAAAATTAGAATGTTCCCATTTTGAATATATAGTCTAGTTTACTTGAAGTAATTTATGCGTCACGTGGTATGTTAACAACGGAATAGCATGATTTTATTCCTTTCGAGATTGTTCTGCATTTGATTTTAGATTATGGGATTTGGTTCATCTGTTCAAATTGCTGGATTATGTCAGAAGTTTAACTATGTAGAAGGTTATTCTGGAAGTCTTGAAACTGTTACCATTTATTCTTTGAATGCCAATTCAGCCGAGCAATCTGGGAATAAGTCTTGAGCAAATCTGGCTTGCGGTATAGCTCTATGCTTGGACTAAGGCTGTTAACTGACTTTGTACCTATCTGCTCGGTGGGAATTTACATGGAAAGATCCAAGGCTCTTGTTTATATGTGCTTATCACATGCGGCAGGAAAGAAATAATCGAAATTTTTTGGGGAGAGGCCAGAAATTCAAGAACATTTAGCTGAGCTTATCATTCTTTGTAGATGGACTCAAATTAGAGATGGGTCATAAAGAAGTTTTCCTGGAATGAGGGATAAAATATTTCTAGGGACTCTCACTCATTATATAAGGATGTATATTAATGTCCACTTGCTAATCTATTCGGAATGTGAGGAAGTCGAGGAAAAACTCAAAATTAAGTTTGTAACTTCAATATTAACCATTAAAATTCAAAAGTGTGCTAGTGAGCCGCTAATGTAGATTGCCATGATGCACTGTCCTACCATGTTACTGTTTATGGTGCCTAAACCAGAACACTGTTTGGCTCTAGGATACTCAATTTCAAGTCTATAATATTTTCTAATGAGGGAGGGAGAGAGAGAGAGAGTTTCATAATCTCTTGGAATAAATTCTATTTTTTTTATAATCGTGGATGTCCGAGCCAGCTTACGCGCACCTCGACTAATTCCACGGGGCCTGAAGTTTACGGTCGGGTACTCACCTCAGTGACCCTGAGGGGACTCAAACTGGTGACCTTTGGGGAGCAAACACAATGTCTGACCAATTGAGCAATCCTTCAAGGTTAGGAATAAATTTTGTTATCTATGCTTTAGATATTAGTATAAGAAAGGAGAGGAAGGAATTCTTCTAAAAATTTATTCGGCTAAATGCCATTTTCAGTCTAACCCTATAATAGTGATTTGAGTGTGATCAATGTGTTCGTTAATGGTGTAGCTTGTCGATAAATACACGCATCATTACTGTAAGCCATAAGTATGGACTATGTTTGATATTACTTTAGGATCTAGTAAGCGTAATTATCACGATCAATAAGTAGAGATCATGTGGTTCCTTTTGGTTCTCTTCATTGGTCAAATCCTGATATCCATTAGCTACTGTATCAATTATGTGCTTTTCCCTTTTGGTGCATATTTCGTAATGCACTGATGAGCTCATGCCGTGGGAGGAAAGTATATATTTTTTTCTCCATTACATTATTATTTATTTTACTTTCCAAAGTAATTAAATAACAGAGTAAATGCACATCTGTCTTACCTTGTCAAGTCATTTTTTTCTCCTGAGTTACCTTAGTGGACAGTTGCAGTGCTATTATAAATTTAGGCAGTTGAATTCCCTACATGTTAACATAATGAAGGATATAGTAGGAATTTTCGAAACTTTTGTGATACGAATTTGGAGTATAAGAACATTTTCTGGAACAAAGAAATTTTGACCCACAAAGAAAATGTGATGGAGTGGGTACAACGATGTCATGATTCTCATTAATTTTTTAACCTCTGAGTGGTAAGAACGTAATGTTTTTCCTTTTCAGATGCAGTAAATGAAGAGCCCATTTCGTCAAACAATGGGCCTTCAACTTGCGACCTACCACTTGCCAGGCAAAAGCGCTTGCACTGGTGGCTCTTACTTGCTCTTCTCATAATTTTTCTTCTTGTTGGTCAAGCTGCTGCAGTCCTTTTGGGAAGATTTTATTACGACAAAGGTGGAAATAGTAAATGGATGGCCACTCTTGTTCAAACAGCTGCTTTCCCTATCCTTTTTATCCCATACTTTTTTCTCCGATCCTCAGATGACTCTTCAAGCGTGTCAAACCCTCCTTCTATTCTTACCATATCTCTAATCTATGCTGTCATTGGAGGTGTCATTGCTGGAGACAATATGCTGTATTCTGTTGGACTATTATACCTGTCTGCCTCTACTTATTCCCTCATCTGCGCCACACAGTTGGCCTTCAATGCGATTACCTCTTTCTTCATCAATCGCCAAAAGTTCACTTCTTTAATTTTTAATTCTGTTGTTATTCTTTCATTATCCACTTCTCTAATTGCAGTCAATGATGATTCCGATAAACCTTCAGCAGTCACTAAAGGAAAATATCTCCTGGGGATTCTAACCACTCTTGCAGCTTCTGCTCTGTACTCTGTTTTGCTTTCCCTCATGCAGTTAACTTTCCAGAAGGTTCTAAAGAAGGAAACATTTTCTGTGGTTCTGGAAATGCAAATTTATACATCAGTTATGGCTACTTGTGTTTCCATTGCAGGGCTTTTTATAAGCGGTGAATGGAAGACTTTACGGGGAGAGATGGATGGTTTCACCCCCGGAAATCTTTCTTACATCATGACTTTGGTTTGGACAGCAGTTGCATGGCAACTTTGTTCTGTCGGCGTTGTAGGTTTGATCTTTGTAGCTTCCTCCCTTTTCTCCAACGTTATCAGTACTCTTTCCTTGGCCGTTACTCCTATAGCTTCTCTTATCGTCTTCCATGACAAGATGAATGGTGTGAAAATAATAGCAATGCTGATGGCATTTTGGGGTTTTGCTTCTTACATATATCAGAACTATCTTGATGATGTTGAGGCAAGGAAAACACAAGCTGATGCTAATGATGCCTCTGCCAGTTCTTGCTGATAATTTTAATAGGCAGGTCAGTCCAAAAGTTTGCGTATGACCTCTTTTTTTTTTAGATTATATTATTTTCATTAATTGCAAATGCTTCCTTCTTGGTTATATATTCTACATACAATTATGTTCTTTTTATAGACTCCCACTGAAGTTACTTCATCTATCAGAATATAGATATGTGAATCATGTGAAAGTCTAAATTTCAATAGATTACTCGTTGTTTGATAAATATAGTGAATGCTTATAGTTGGTGCTTTCTGTCCTTTTTACTTCATTTGAGCTTTTACATCATGTAGTTAAGTTTAGTACGGTGTCTCAACATGCAAATGTCTTAGATGAAGTCTCCGGCAACCATTTAATGAAATCATGTACGTACTAGGCTTTGGTGGAAATAAATGAATCCCGCCCACACGTGAGAGCGTGTTGAGAACAAAACTTAAATGATATACACGGTGTCCTCTCAAACAGCTTGGACGATAGATTAAACTTTTAGATGAAATATTTGTGAAACTTGTAAAAAAATGGTTAATTCTTGGTTTCATATGAGAATCAAATGTTTTATGGACTAGTTATTTTTGATACTCGTCCTATCCATGTAAATCTAGAACTGTCAAAAAATCAACTTCAGACAAGGACTTAGATGTGTAGAATATTATCTAATCCTCCATGCTAGTGGACAACACCAGATTAAAAAAATAAAATAAAATCTTATTTACAATCCAATTATGTAATATTATCCAATACCCTTTTTGAGTATTTTAAAAAGGCTCTTTAAACATAAGATACTCTTTATTTTAAAGAGTCGACCCTTACAATTATGTTTCATGAGACTTTTTAATAAAGAGTGAGTTTTATTCTCTAAATTTTGTGAGCTAAATCTAATCTATATTTAAATGTATTCAAAATATTTCAATTGTCAATGAAGGAAAATAATTTAATAATTTGGAGTGAAACTAGTGAAAATAAAAGATAATGAAAAATAATAAATATTTTTTTTAGAGTAGTAAGATTAAGGTTCTGTTTGTTTCGGATTAAAATCTGATTTTAATCTAAATCAAAGTTAAAGTCAAACAATCAATATTAACTACATCTTTTATGGGTTTCACAACTTTTCAACCACACATTTCAAATTTTTTTATCACAATTTATTAAAAACCTAATTTTAATCTCCGTCAAACACCCACTAAGTGTTAAATATAAAGAGTTTATTGAAGTACTTAAATATTTTTACTCTATGAATTTATAGTTGTTCTTTAAATTGTAAAATATATATTTTTTTAAAAATAGAGAGTCTTCTGAAAATGTTTTTAAAAGTTAGTCAATATTATTTAGCAGATATATAAATAAAGAGGAAAAATGAAAGAGAGAAGAGAAAGCAACTGTTCTATTAAACATGTGGATTGATCACTTCCACGTTACACGAAGTTGACATGAATTTCCTAAATTAAAGTTGTCAACATCCAAGAGTATTCAAAGATAAGTCTCCAACCTGGGTCTAGCCTCAAATTACCAATAAGGTTGAGTGGGGAAATGGTCGGGTTCGAGAGGCGAGGTTGAGAATTAAAATATTCGTATTTACTATTCACTTCATTAATTAATTAATTATTTGAGAAATATAAAAATAAAATGAAATCGAACGTTCCTATTACGAATTGAGTTAGGAGAGTTCGGGGTGAAGCAATGGAGGATGGGGCCAGGTTGAGGATTTCAATTTGCCGTTCCTATTACGAATTGAGTTCCTAAATAATTTCTTTGGAAGCATCATCTAAGCACTAAAATTAAATTTATTTTAGTAAGATAGAACTAAAATTGAAAAAAAAAATCTCCAAAATTAAGAAATAACTGATTTTCTTTTTGTTGTGCTGACTCGGTCTTACTAAAAAATAAATCAAAACGTTTGAATTAATATTTCAATTTAAATTAACTAAGACCGTTTGATTGCAAGAATGAAATTTGGGTGGAAAGAAAATGAATTTCAGAGAATTAAATTGCATAGAACCAGTGTTCTAAAATGCGTAATGCGTTGCGAAGCGTCGAGGCCGAGTATCAAGAATCACAAGTTTAGGCGTGTCAATGCGAAGAATAAGCGTCATAATGCGTTTCGTATAGAACCAGTGTTCTAAAATGTGTAATGCGTTGCGAAGCGTCGAGGCCGAGAATCAAGAATCAAAAGTTTAGGCGTGTCAATGGGAAGAATAAGCGTCATAATGCGTTTCGTATTTTTAAGTCATTAAATATATTTTTATATAAAAAAATAGACTTTTTAATATATAAAAAAAGAACAGATTTAAAAAAAAGGGGGGGGAATAGACGGACTAATGCGCACCTAGGCGCGACTAGTCGTGCATTTTAGTTGGAAAACGCATTTTTCCCGCATTTTTCGAATTCGACGCGTTTTGATCACGCGTCGCACCTATGCGGCGCATTTTCCCCTTTTTTAGAACAATACATAGAACTTGTTTTAATGAGAACTGTTCATTAATTATGTTTGATTGATATAATTTACCACTTGAAAAATGTTGAAATTTTGGATATTTTGGCTTTGTTTTCCATGAAAATTGTTCAGTAAATGGATAGATTTTGTTACCACTGGAAATAGAATTTGTTTGAATTGTCAAAAAAAAAAAAAAAGAGCATAGAAAATCATTTTCCCGCCAAAGTGGTGGGAAACTCAATTCAAGAAAAAACAAGAAAAGGGGGTTACGTGGGGCTTAAGAAGGAAAACCAATTCCATGGAATTTTTGGCCAATCAAACATGCAATAATTTAGAAAATGAAAAATAATTTCCAACTTCCATAAAAAATAAACCCTATCAAACATGGGTTAAAAGAATTTCAAACCAATGAGGCTCTCACAAGTTGAATGTGAAAGTTAAGATATGCAAAATTGTCACGCTAAAGATTTCGGCTTATATTATTTATTATTATTATTTTGGGATTGATTAGTTTACCTAAAGTTGGGAAAGTGGGATGTGACATAGAAATTATGCAACAAGTTTGAGCAATTCCATTTATTGACTTTGATTGTTTACATCTACTTGTTGTAGACATGGAACAAGTCACCTACTCATAATTAAAACGTAACTTTAAAGAATCACTTATAATTGTTCAATATAAATGTTAAAATAAATTGTCATGATATTTTCAAGTAGACCAATCTTGTATGATTATAGCACGTTAGGTTAGGTCTGAAAGTCGTTTTTTCAGTTAAGAATTTCTTTCTAAAATAGTTAGTCTCATTATTAGTAAAAAGGTGACTTTTAAAATTAAATTTGAACAGGAAAAAACTTAAAAAATTGGTTTTTCGCTATTTTAAAGCTTAGTTTAGTATGCTCTAGGAAAAAAAAAAGAAAAAGAGCAACGCCAGTGGAGGTATAACATGGAACTCGGAGGCTAGAGAGGGAATGGTGGGAGGATGAGACGAGGAAATAATTAGGAATTAAGCGAGGAGAAAGTTGGTGAGGGTGAAAGAAAAGAGACGAGAGAATCGTGAAGTAAAGAATGGGTCTCGGATTGTAATTTTCTTGTAACATTATTAAAGGAAAACAACAAGTGGCAAAAAGATCAATAGCGTAGATGTCTCAAATCAAAGGTCAATGATGTGAACTTTCATGTTTATCAAAAGAAGATTGACATCAATATGGCCTCCAATTTGGGTTTCATGCCTTTTTCAATCAAAATAATAATAAATAAATAAATAAAGGACAAATGTGCGTGGAAAAAAAGTGAATAGTAATTATGGATCTTAAAAAATATGTAATTAAATTTAATGTTTGACTTTGAAAAATATCTCTTTACCAAAATGGAATGAAACATAGATAGAGGCACAGTGTCGAATCTATTACACTTTAATATCCAAATTAGTTTGAGTTCCGTTAGGGTGGGTGGGTAGAAAAATCAATTTTTTACTGACATGGGGAAATTCTGTAGAAAATTTCTGTACTCACAACCTTTTTGAATTAGTTTTGCACGATATTTTCCACGTCTAATATGTGATATTGACATTCATGTTTGTTGCGATTATTTTTTAAACTTTTTCTTTAAGTTAAATATATAAATTGTACATTAGAGTTGCGTCCACAATCAAATCAACCAACGAATATATCATTCATGGATGACCATCAGGTGGGTCATACCACCCTCCTTGACGACAATCTAACATTTTTTGAACGAATTCATTTTGAAATTACAATTTAACCATATGATATTTTAAAAACTTCAGATTTTTATTAGACCAAGTGATGTCCCATTTTCGAGGTAAGTAATGACAACACACCAATAGTATGGTCTTAAGAACTAAGCTTGTACATCATTTGATTTGGACGTGGTTGTCACATATATATTGTCCCTTTTCCCTTTTTCTTGAAATTTTTAACGACTTTCTCTAATTTAATTTGTCCGAGGCAATCTTTTAAAAATGATTTGGTTTATAATATTAGATTTTATGAACAATGTGATGAAAATTTTAAAATTCTATGACAAAAGTATAATCCCAATTAAAACATTAGTTTTTCAACAACTCTCGCTAAAACGGTTGTATATTACACTAGCTAGACAAACTCCCACCTGATATTCAAAATTTTTGTGGGATAATTGTTGCAACCCGCCCCTAGCCAAGTGGAAAAATAGCTTAATCCACCATGTGGTTTTAGGGCTGTCAACTAGCCGACTCGACGCGAACCGCAAATCGAAACTTTTTGCTCAGGCTCAACTCGAGTAAAAATACTTCGAATTTTTTTTAAAAGAATTTAAAATTTGTGTAATTTATACGTATTATAAATAATAACGGCTAAAAAAATTACAGCTAAAATGAAAAAAAAAATTAAAAAAAAAAGTGGTAGGCAAGTTTTTTTATTCTTTTTATTTTTTAGGCTCACGGCTCGAGCCGACGCCCCAAAGTGGGGCTTGGTCCCACCGAGCCACGATCAGACCCGGCTAGGCCTTTTTCCGGCTCGAGCTTGAGCCAACGAGTCATTTTGTCATCCTTATGTGATTTGCTGAAAATCCAAAATATAATACCGTCTAAATACTGCTTAGAGAAAGCTCGAAAAGTTGGTGGCAGTTCCAAAATAAAAACCCTAGTATTTGGCTTTTTTTTTGTTTTAATGTTTAAGTTTTCCATACATATATTTAACAATTAATTTGTATTTTAAACATAAAAATGCCATTTGGGATTTGGCTATAATTAAAGCACATAAATTCAAAGAAAATTTCCTAGTTATGATAGTTGGAAAAAAGACCCTATTTACATTTATTTTGGGAATTCATTGTTTCCATTTTGATACATCAAAATAGTCAACCTGACGTTGATTATCACACTAACGAAAGTTAGCCCCACGCACACTCGTTAATTAACGATTCAACTCACAAAAGTTAAATTAATGGGGTCTTTACAACCACCCTGATCCACCATGTAACTTCACGGATAAAAGGTCATTCCTGTAAATTCACTTACAATTTGAGACTCACCACAGTTTTTATTTGATACATCACATTTTACTTGAATTTAAACTTCTCAATCTTTGCATATTTTAGTAATTATTTCTTTAATTTTTTTCGTCGAATTTTATTTTCAACTTTTTATTAATTAGTATGATTTATATCAAAATATTTTATTTTTATTCTTTGAATTGGAGAAAAAATATTTTATCATATTATTTATTTATTTAAAAATATGATGAAAAATAAGTCATTTTATGTCATTTTAACAGACTTTTGAGCATATGACTGTTATTAAATACAAAATATGTTAACTAATGAAAAGTTTGAGGATAAAAATAACTTGAAAATCGTTAGGAACATAAGTGTTACTTGAAAAAATCGCTATGATAAAACTCATTTTTGTCAAAGAGAAGGAAAAAAAAAAATATAGGCTCGAATAAAGTTTTACTTGCAGAAGGAAAAAGAATCAAAATTTCTCTCGTTTAGTGAAAGAACGTATAACACACAAAGTTTAACAGTGATTGAGCTAGGAGCGAAACAGCAGTTTCAATAGAGTTGGGGGCCGGGGGTCATCAACGTCCATGAAGTGTGGTCAAATGTCAATGGTCATCCAATTAATGATTCGGATTGAACCTCCCGAAATGGCAGAGCTTTCGGGACCTGTTCTTGCAAAACGACGACGCATTCGCCGGGATCCTACTACTTGAAATTTTTAACGACTTTCTCTAATTTAATTTGTCCGAGGCAATCTTTTAAAAATGATTTGGTTTATAATATTAGTTTTTATGAACAATGTGATGAAAATTTTAAAATTCTATGACAAAAGTATAATCCCAATTAAAACATTAGTTTTTCAACAACTCTCGCTAAAACGGTTGTATATTACACTAGCTAGACAAACTCCCACTCGATATTCAAATTTTTTGTGGGATAATTGTTGCAACCCGCCCCTAGCCAAGTGGGAAAATAGCTTAATCCACCATGTGGTTTTAGGAGTGTCAATGAGCCGACTCAACCGAACCGCGAATCGAAACTTTTTGCTCGAGCTCGACTCGAGTAAAAATATTTAAAGCTTTTTTTGACTTGAGTCGAGCGACAATACTTGAGTCGACTCGAGTAAAAATACTTGGAGTTTTTTTTTTAAAGAATTTAAAATTTGTGCAATTTATACGTATTATAAATAATAACATATAAAAAAATTACAACTAAAATGAAAAAAAAAATTAAAAAAAAAAAGTGGTAAGACAAGTTTTTTTAATTCTTTTTATTTTTTAGGCTCACGACTCAAGCCGATGCCCCAAAGTGGGGCTCGGTCCCACCAAGCCATGATCAAACCCGGCTAGGCCTTTTTTCGGCTCGAGCTTGAGCCGATGAGTCATTTTGTCATCATTATGTTGTTTGCCAAAAATCCAAAATGTAATACCGTCTAAATACCACTTAGAGAAAGCTCGAAAAGTTGGTGGCAGTTTCAAAATAAAAACCCTAGCATTTGGCTTTTTTTTGTTTCAATGTTTAAGTTTTCCATACCTATATTTAACAATTAATTTGTATTTTAAACATAAAAATGCCATTTGGGATTTGGCTATAATTAAAGCACATAAATTCAAAGAAAATTTCCTAGTTATGATAGTTGGAAAAAAAGACCCTATTTAATTTTTTTTTCAGAATTCATTTGTTTCCATTTTGATACATCAAAATAGTCAACCTGACATTGATTATCACACTAATGAAAGTTAGCCCCACGCACACTCGTTAATTAACGATTCAACTCACAAAAGTTAAATTAATGGGGTCTTTACAACCACCCTCATCCACCATGTAACTTCAGTACTTCACGGATAAAAGGTCATTCCTGTAAATTCACTTACAATTTGAGACTCACCACAATTTTTATTTGATACATCACATTTTAATTGAATTTAAACTTCTCAATCTTTTCATATTTTAGTAATTATTTCTTTAATTTTTTTTGTCGAATTTTATTTTCAACTTTTTATTAATTAGTATATCTTGTCTTTGACAATGATTTATATCAAAATATTTTATTTTTATTCTTTGAATTGGAGAAAAAATATTTTATCATATTATTTATTTATTCAAAAATATGATGAAAAATAAGTTATTTTACGTCATTTTAACAGACTTTTGAACATATGACTGTTATTAGATACAAAATATGTTAACTAATAAAAAGCTTGAAGATAAAAATAACTTGAAAATCGTTAGGAACATAAGTGTTACTTGAAAAAATCGCTATTATAAAACTCATTTTTGTCAAAGAGAAGGAAAAAAAAAAGGCTCGAATAAAGTTTTACTTGCAGAAGGAAAAAGAATCAAAATTTCTCTCGTTTAGTGAAAGAACGTATAACACACTAAGTTTAACAGTGATTGAGCTAGGAGCGAAACAGCAGTTTCAATAGAGTTGGGGGGCGGGGGTCATCAACGTCCATGAAGTGTGGTCAAATGTCAATGGTCATCGAATTAATGATTCGGATTGAACCTCCCGAAATGGCAGAGCTTTCGGGACCTGTTCTTGCAAAACAACGACGCATTCGCCGGGATCCTACTGTCGCCGGTGACCACCGTCTCCTGCGGAAACCCCTTCTGATGCAAGTGCAAATTTGGGCTTGCACGGACTAAAGGACTCAAGCAAAATGCAAGACCAGATATATTCCCACAGTGCCCTTTAAAACCTCCGCGGTGCCGCGTCGCCGGCGTCCTACGCGGAGTCTGCTTCCAACCTTGGGAAGACTCCGAAGAGTATCCACTCAATCCACCGTGAAAATGCGACTCGTCCTCCTCTTCGGAATACCTCGCCGGAGACATTCCACGGTCGCGATTGCGGCAGTTCCTCTGGTGGCCTCCGATTGCGTTCTTATCAAGGGAAAGCGTGCGACTTTGCTTTTTCCGCCGGGCAGGAAACCACGAAGGAGAAGATGCTGTACCCACAACACCAGGATCCGAAATCGGACCAGAATCCGAATCCAGTTTCTCCGTTTTGGATCTAAAAAGACCCGAAAAAGGCAGAGAAAATCTTCCACCACTACTCTTCTTCTTGACTTCAACTGTTACAGAGCTGGCAGGAGCCACCTGGGGACTGCTATAACGCAGCTGACACGTGGCAGCTTCGTCCGATTTCCGGCGAGATACATAAGGCGATACAGACCGGGGAAAGGCAAGAGGGGCCGGTTGGGTATCAAAATTTCGGCGACCTTCTTGTGCCTCTTTCTGGGCCTGGGCAGCGATAACTGTAACTAGACGTTCTTGTAAACAGGAGGCGCAAACGCCGACGGCGCTACTGAGGTCGGCGGGATGTTTCTTACACTTCATTTACAAGTGTAACAATTCTGTATCTATTTGCGTATGTATAATAGAATTGTGTGGGTTTGTTAATGATCAGAGCGGCTGAGGCCGTTTTGAGGGAAGTGTGTGTCGCTCTTTGGATGATTTGATGTATAATACAAAGGTGAGAGTTTGTCTGTTTCTTCTTCTTCTTCAATTTTCGGAGGGGAGAGAATTAGAACTTATTTGGTGGAGTTTTATAGCATATTTGTTGGAGTTGGGGCTAATGGGCAACTCTTGTTCTTAATAAGGGAAAGCTCATCGTATAAAAACAAAGAGTGGGGAAAGACCAATGGTCCAATGCATTTGGTCCGCCTAGAACGAGCCAACGAAGTGGCACGAAAAGTAAGCCAAATGTCATTAAACTGACTAGGTCCCTTTTCCGATTGATAGACACGCATCGGCATCGGCCAGTTGATTACTAGTGCATTTTGAATTCCATGATAGGGAATTCCGATATTATTGTGCTTGTTTGGGATTCATTGCGACGTTCTTATCGTTTAAAAGGATAATTTTAATCGCACATTCACAATTAAATTTTTTTGTTATCGATATATTATGCCCTTGTTTGAGTCTCATTTTTTTCATTAAAATGTATTTTTGAACAGTAATTTGATCACATTTCAACCACATATTCTTCAATAAAATAATATTATACTCAAATTCAAAATTTCTCCTAATTTTTTGACCACACATTTTTAATCATAACACTATAAAAATAAAAAATAGGGCTCAAACAAGCCCATATGAATATAATTACTCTTCTTCTTCTTTATAATCTCATTATAATTTTCTCAAAACAAGCATATTCAAATGTGAGATATTAGAGTTTTCGTATAATTGTCTACTATCTAAAAATAAAATTATAATCTATTGAAATACTCTAAAATATGCATTTCTAAGGGTGTGTTTGAGTCACATTATTTTGAAAGAATGTATTCTGGAATAGTAGATTGATGGAGTATATGTGGTTGAAANTTTTTATTGTTGATGTGATGGGGAATGTGTGGTTGAAAAAGAAGGAAAATTTATCGATGTGATGGAAAATATTATTTTATTGAAAAATGTGTGGTTGAAAATAAGTAGAATAATGAGAATGAGAATTTTAATGTATACCAAACAGGGGCTAAATCCATCTCTTTTGTCAATATTAGAGTGAAGGAGATATATAAGCATTGTTAGGTTTAGACATTGTTCAATTCGAAACCAACTTTTGACGAAAAAGATAGCTAAGTTTAGTGAAAAAAAAAAATTGAAAGGGAATTAAATTGTTTAAATCGATTCTTGATTATGGGTCTAGAACCAGAACCAAAATCAGTTGGTTCTAGGTTCTAGAACCAAAATCATTCGAAAACATACTTGTGAACGAAACGAAATGAACCGATCAATTTTTCTTTGATTCTAATAGGTTTAGTTCTTTTGCGTATCCCTGCATATTACCAATTGAGTGGGGAAATTTTGACCATTGCAAATGAAATGTCCTCAAGGGTGTAAATTCATCGAATATTTATCAAATGTCAATTTCTACGTTCCATTTTTGCAAAAGACATTTTTACCCACATGCTATAAGGAATTCAAAATTTAGGTTTATGTAATAATTTAATTCGTGTGTATTTTCAATCAAAATCTATTTCAGCATTTAAAAAATAATAATAAATAGAAAGCTTGTGTTTGCATAGTAGTTTTGAATTTTTGATTAAAATTTAATTATTAATGAAAAGTATAAATAACTTATAATGTTTCCCAAACATAGGCAAAATATGCATTCCTCTGGCATTACAATTCACAGAATGTTTGTCCACTTTTTCACGAGGAAATTGCTTTATATGTCACATTTTGGGTGTTTGCATTTTGAAAATGGCTATTTTTTCAAAAAAATTTGAACAAATAGTCCTTTTTATAAATTTTAGAGCAAACAATCTTACAATGAGTTACAAACTTCTTAAAATTACATTTTTGCGATGCACCTTCTTCCCATTCTGTCAGCCACGACATCGACCCATCTTACCCGTCACTATTAGTCTATTAGCATCTTCTTTTTTCCACTTCAACCACCACCCTCCCATCCCCGCCGCCCATTCGAGTACATAGCTACTATAAAGTTTACAAATGAGAAATTTTCGAGCAGCTTCAATAACGGTGACATTTACACACAAAAAAATTAATCACAGGAATTCAATAAATAATAGAGGAAATTGCATCCAATGTATTCAAAATCATAAAACACCTGCTTGTTCATTTTTCCAATCAGTAACCTTGTAGTTATCACTTTTTTCTCTGAGAAAATTACACAAAACCAGAATTTTAAAATTTCGATTTCAAATTTCTGATATAACTTTATTTATACAACAATCAAATATTAATTTATCTATTTCATCTAACCCTAACCTAAAACCCTAATTTTATCATCTTCTTCCAATCCTCTCTCTCTTCCCCTCCTCTCTCTCTCTTCCCTGCCTCTCTCCCCTCTCCCTCGCACGGTCGCCGTTGTCTAAGACAGCAAAGGCCGTGGGGTAAATGGGCGGTGGAGATTCGAAACCCTTCCACTCCTCTCTCTTTTCCCCGTTGCACACAGGACTGTCACAACCGCTGTGAGCTACGCGGTACAATCAAGATCTCCATCGAACGGCATGTGCCTGTATCTCTTCCACAGCGTATGTGGTGGTGGTTGTGGTTGAGGATGTGTCGACGACACTTGGCGTGAGTTGATGTTGCCGGAGGTGGCGAATCACAGTGAAAGGTGAGAGATCGAAAAAATGGTAGTTTGTTTGTTGATTTGGAGAGGTGATGGTGAAATTATGGCAGCCGACGATGTTGCAGTAAGTCGATCGATGGAAGACAGTAGAATAGGCAGTGGTTTTGGGGTGGTTTCTTTGGTGGTTTGAAAATGGTAGAGTCAAAAGACAGGACAACCAACGGCTGTAAGGTGATGACGGTTGTGGGGTGTTGGCTGTTTTAGATCTGATTTGTTGGTGGTGAGGTGGTGCTAGTTATGGTGGTTAAGTAACAGTGATGATGTTGTGATGGTGGTCGTGGTCACAAATGGCGGTGCTGGTGAGGTGGTGTTAACGGTGCACAACGACAATGATTGTGTTGTTGAGGCAATGGTGAGGTGGTGTATTGAAGGTTGTATTCACAAATTATTTGGTTAATTGTGACCATTTAAATTGGTTAATCAGTGATCAATAAACAATATGTGACCAATGAAAAATATAAACTGTGACTGAGAAATAATGTATAACCTAAAAAATTGATAATTTGTGATCGATAATTTGACAATTCACTAAGAGCTTGTTTGTCTTCCATTATTGGGAGAAAATTATTGTAATGAATAGTATTTTTTGGAGAATGTGTGGTTGAAAATTAAAGTAATTTTATTGGTTTGTGTGTAGAATATTTTATTGGGTGAATGTGTGGTGGAGAATTTTACTGTAGCAAACAATTTTTTGGATTAATGGTAGACAAACGGGGGCTAAGTTGTGACTTATAATATTTGTGATTTGTGACCGATAAATAAATTGTGACGTATAAATTTTTTTATTTGTGACCGATGAACAAATTGTGACTTATAAAATTTCTGAATTGTAACAGTAAAATAATTTGTGAGCTATAAAAATTCTGATTTATGACCGTAAAATAATTTGACTTATAAAATTTCTGATTTGTGTTAGATGAACAAATTGTGACTTATAAAATGTGTGAATTGTGACAATAAAATAATTTGTGACGCTTCAATTTGTAATTTGTGATCGATGAACAAATTGTGACCTATAAAGTTTTTGAATTATGACCGTAAAATAATTTGTGACATATAAAATTTATTATTTACAACTAATTATATAGAATTTGTGACCAAATTATATGGAATTGTGACCTTAATATATTTTATTAATAAAATATATGTTTAATTTATTTATTTATAATTTTTTTTAAAACTCTAAAATTTGAAAAGTTAAACATAATATCTTAAATTTGAAATTGGTAAAACTAAATTTCTTATTGATGTAATCTTCCTTTCTTTTTCTTTATTTGAAAAAACTTGGCCCACATCATTGTACCGAGACGGGTTTCCATCTGGACAAGCCCAAATGATTCCATCAAATTGACTCGAGATTGGTCCAAATGGTCTTGTTAGATTTCAAAGAGAAATTCAAGATTTTCAGGTGTTTAAAGTTTCAAATTCAAAAATCAGGGACCAAGTTTCAATATTCAAAAATCAGGGACCAAGTTTCAATATTCAAAAATCAGGTGCTATATAACAACCCTAACCCTAATTTTTTACCCTCC